CTGCATGCATTGCAGTCATCCAACAGCTGCTGCTGCTGCTGCTGCTGCTGCTCTCGCTGCAGCTGCTGCTGCTGGTCTGTGCACAAAGGTTTGCGCAGCTGCGTTCTTTTTGCTAAAATAAATAATTATTTTATTTAAAATATAAAGTGTATATACAAAGAAATTAATTAATAAACATTTGTTAAGTGCGGTGTTGCTTTGAGCAGGTAGCTGCGGTGTATTTCTCTATCATCTACCTATCTTCAGGGTTTACGGTTTAGGGTTTAGGGTTTGTATAATAATAATGCAGTAGTTAGCCATCTTGAGGTCATATAATAACATTTATAATGCAGCAAATAAACAAAGAAAGAAATAAAAAAACAATAAAAATAAAAACACTCAATAAATGCATCTCTATATTTTGTTTTTGCTGCCTTCTCTAACTGCAGCAGCATCAGCTCAATGAAAGATATAAATGAGAAATAATAAATATAAAATAAAAAATAATTTTTATATTATTTATTCTATTTTATGTATTATCGCTGAGTGTAATAGACGGCAATATACACAAGCACTATATGTACAACATATATTTTATAAACTCTATATTAATGCATTATAATATATATTTTATAAACTCTATATTAATGCATTACAACACATATTCTATAAAATCTACATTAATGCAGCATAATATATATAGTATAATCTCCATATATTAATGTATTCTATGTATATATATATATATATATTTCTTTTTTTATAACTCTGTACAAATGCATTATATACATTGCATATTTTTAAAAGCTTTACATTATTTATTATTTAACTTTAAAAACTTCTTTTCTTTCAAGGGCATCGTAGCAGAGATAGTGCTGCTGCTCTGAGTGTTGGTTTATTATTATTAATATCATCAAGAGACAGAAAAGAAGACAGCAAATCCTTTCATTTTAGACGAGGTGCAGCAGCAGCAACAACAACAACAGCAGCAGCAGCAGCAGAAGCAGCAGGAGTAGAAGCAGCAGCAGCAGCAGGAACACTTGTTCGTGCTGCAGCAGCAATTGCAGCTTCAAGGTAGCAGCAGCAGCAGATGGAAGGCCCCAA